CAAAGCAAAGCTTGAGATATTGCCAACTCCTCTATGCTGTAAAATATCGTTATGTCATTGGGAAGGCACACCTTGGCAACAGCTGACACAAGACAGATGTTAAAATTAACTGCAGTTAGGTTATGTCCATACTACACTGGACTTTTGGTACCTCTGACAAGATTCTGTTCTACAGTGATGACTTCAATATGGTGGCAGATGGGAAGTTACAGTTTAAATGAAGCATAATTTCAAATCTGTAGACAGTCATAGTCTCTTCTTCCCTACTTCACTAAATGCTCTAAATAATTTTATTTCCTAATTATTACAGAATTAACCCCAGGGGCTGCAGTTCATTTTCAACTGCAAATGTTTATCAATAATATAAAGTCAGGACCCAAACCTAGTTTTTGTGACATCAGTGAACCAAAAGTAAATACACCAAAGTCAGTGAAGCTACACTAGCATGATGGTCTAACCCTGTGTTTATTAAAGTCAGCCAAAGCTGATTAGAGATTTGAGTGGGCATCGGGACATGGTCTTGAAATTGCCACCTTTGTGTGACAGAGATATCTGTATTTCCTTAAAATTCTCAGAACTGAGGTAATGACTTTGCCTGAAATTTATCTCCAGGCAATTTCAGATTATGAGCTAAAGAATGCATTTTTGCTTGATGCACTTACAAACATTAAATACATACATTTATTTTCCTCTAAAAAAAAAATTGTTCAAATACAAGGCCATCTCCTCTAAAATTTAACATATCTTTTTATTATGTTAATACTGATCCTCTTGACACAGCAGTGACACACTTCCTATCAGGAGAAACAGCTAAGCTTGAAATACTTAGTATTATTACAGCACATCATGTAGACTGTACTATATGGACACTGTGAGAAGCAGAAAGCAGGATGATGCACCTTTAGCTAGGGTGCAGCTTCTTTTGAGAAGACTGGTTTCCTTTATGGTGGTTTAGAGGAAGATGAAGTTCCGTTGTAGGATTTCCATAATCTGCAGCTGGTAAAATATAACACCTCACCTCTCTCAGTAATGTTAAGACAGTAAGAACATCTGTAAATATTCAAGCAGTAGGATTCAATCATGTCTTTCTATTTTTCAAATATTTTAATATATTTTATAAATATTTTGCATTTATAAGTAAGCGTATTCTTCAATGGAATTGAACATCCGAGAATGAAGAACTTTTTTTCTCCTAAAGTTTCATTGTCTAAATAGTATTAAATATTTTAATTATAGATCCTACCTTTCATGCTCAGATTCAATTTGTTTCTCCAGAATATATTCAAGACCAACCACAAAACTGAAATATACAAAATTTTATATAAAACGTATAATATAAATTTGAAATAATTAAATTTCACAAACAAAAATTTGTGTAGGAAAGGACCTAAAATTCCAAGTTAAGTTTTCATAGGGTGTATTACACTTTCAAGTTTCAGTGAGAATCAGTTTTCACCTATTTTTCCTGTGATTCGATCTGTCCTTCAAAATCAATATTAAGTAAATCTTCTATCAGATAGATCTAAATTCACACATATAACTAAGCACACTGAAGCCAACAGAGATGAGAACAGAAATGTTCTCCTCTTAAAAATAAATTGAAACAATATCCTAAAAACAAAAAATCATAAATAAAATCCTAAGACACTGATTTTCCCACTTGACTTGCATGATGTTTAGTATGGTGAAAATCACTGATTTACAGTAATATCTGTTTTGTTTAGCATGGCAATATTCTGCTCAGACACTCCACATAGACTGCAATTTGTCCTTACAGAATTGATTCTACCACTTTAGCAGGATGTGAAATAACATTATAATAATAATGAAGGGATCCAGAACTTAAAGCACCTGAATTTGTAACTGGGTCTGTATCTTCGGTTTTACTTAATTTTGTGCATACAGGTCTCGCCTAAAATAGCACAGAAGTTCATTCTCATGAGTAGCCAGCACACCAGCTGAGGAATTCATCTCCTCCAGAGGGCTGGAATAGAGCAGATGTTTCAAAAACATGTTTCTCTCTACTTGTGTGCTACAATCACAGTCACAAATAGTAGACATCTCTGTAGCCCCAAGGGAGGCAAAAATGCAATATCTCTACGAGGAGCAGAGGAAAAGAAGAAAAAGAAGCAGCTCACCAGCTCCATTTGATGCATCAAGCACATGCTCCATCAGCTCTTGGACTACATTTGCAAACAGAAAATGAGATTTCCCTGCACTAGCTCAGTCTATACTGATCACCCTGAGCTCAGCTGAGAATCAACAGGCAAAACCATGCACCACCAGAGATTAGTGAATTACTGAATGAAGCAACTTCTCAGTGGGTGAAGTTATTTAATGAGACGGAGGATAGGGAAGGATTTTGCCCAGAGTGACAACTGGAGACAAGAACCAGTTGCTTTAAGATGAGAGGACTAAAAATTGTTTGTACTGTGTGAAAGGGGAAGGAGAAGTAGAAAGATATAAATGCAAGAAATATATAACCCAGAGCAAGATGATGTTTGCAAACAATATATTTTTTTAAAAAATAGTTGATCAAGCAGACAGTTTTTCAGCTTCACTCTGAAAAAGCTCACATTTCCTAAAAACATTGTTTCCATCTTCCCAGCTATATCAGTAGATCTAATGAAAAATACTATGTGTTTTTACTTACTTTGTATTGTCTATGTCTTCGGAGTCTCAAGATTGCAACAACCAAGAGAAACACAAATCAACACAATCAAATCAAGAAAATCAGCAAGTTGATTACTATATGAAAGCAGGGAGACATGAACTGGACAGCTGTTTCCATAGAGAAGAGAGAGAAGAGCAGAGAAGAAGAGAAAAGTCAATCCTACATGAAGTGATTCTGTTTACAGAAGTCAGAAAAAACACAGATCTGAGATCCAGCCTTCTGAAAGTGGTTTACTCCTTTAAGCAGGTAGCTTAATTTTCCTTTTAAGATCCAGGTTACATAGTCTTCATCTTGTTTTATTCAAGAGCTTGTATTGCCAACTTCCAGAGCAGAAGTGTGTGACGTCTCCCTTCTTGAGCTGTAAAATGTGCCTGTTGTTATAGGAAAAGGTTCAAATCCATAGTAGACAGTATTTGATTGAAACAAAGCTTTTCATTCCAGCTTTTACTCCTTCCTGATCTAAACTCAGGATTGGTTCTTGAATACGTAATGAACTCCAGCTGATCTTGCACTATAAATCTTTGGCAAGCTGGAAGGGGCAGATCTGCTGTCCAAGTAATTTACATTTTCCAGAGTTCAAGTTCATTGTCCTTCAGAACTTAAAAATTTAATATTTTAAGAAACCTTTTTAAGATATGCATATATCAGGATTTCTCCAAGACACATGAAAAAGAAAAGCAAATGGCTATTGGCCAAAAAAAGTAAGTTAGTGATCCATGTGTTTCCCATATGCAGACTACCAATGGCTTTCAGGTCCTGTCATATGCACGATTGCTTGTTTTATGATAATTATTAGAATTAATTACTATTAATATTCCAACCCTAACTATTAATTAGTATTAATATTCCAAGCTGGACCACAAGCCATTAAGCAGTTTATCAGCTAGCAAACAACTCAGAGCTATTGCCACAGTGGTGTGGTATGTTCCCCAGTAAGAACTGGCTCAGCAGCACTAAACACTGAAATCACCTGCATTGTTTTAGTCATTCGGCATATCTTAGTAAACTGTTTTTAAAATTAACTTTAGAATCTCTAAAAAATGAGGGGTTAAAATTATCCTATGGACCCATTGGGCTACCAGCCTGTCAAAACACAGGTCCTTTGGAAATGCCTCTTGACTTTATGCAGAAGCAGTGGCAGACAATTACTTCTAAGATCAGGCTAGAGAAGTAGCTACCTCTACTTGTTTTCTACCGCTTTTTTTTAGTACCATCACAGAATATAGGTGGCAGAGCTTCATTTCACCTTGGCCAAGAACTAGTCAAACTCATGTCTTCTACCTCCAGAATGAGTTCTAGTCACCCAGCTGCCCTTAAAAGGTGGGGAGAGGGATGATCTTCATCATTCTGGCAGAGGTATATTCCCTCCATTTTCCATAAATGAAATCAGGATTCAGGGGCTAGAAAACAGATACATAACTCCATGTATCCTCATGTCACATGTATCCTCATGTCACATGTATCCTCATTTCTAAGCAGACTTTTCCCTTGGCAGTGAAAAACCCTAGTAAGAAGGGCAGAGTCAACTAATTTTCCTCACGACCAGCATCTCAACTTTTCTTACATGTCCTGAGGGTTACTCAGGATCTTGTGCCCCAAAATAGAGGACACCAACCATGTCCACAGGACTTGCACCCCTTTAGGGATCCTGATCTAGGTCCTTTGCTACGCTGCTCCCTGAGCATTTAGCCTCATGGGATCAACCATCCTGAGGTATATTTGCACCACCAAACACACATTCACCAGCTATTACATCTTCAGCAGTCTTACCTCTCACCACCTGCAATGGAGCAGGAACAGCAGATCTGAACATGACAGCGTGATTTGAAAAGATGGCTAAGGGATGAATGTCACCAGACCAGGCTTCTCTCTTACCCCTCATTTTGCCCATTCCTGCCCTTTTATAAACCCCATTAACACGAACAAAAGCAATTTATTTTCCTGGTCTCCCTTCTCCCACCCTTACCCCCCTCGGACGCGCTGGGACGGACCCGACCGCGCCACTTCTGTGCGGGGGCGCGGAGCCGCCCCTCTCTGCCCACGGGAGGGCTGTGACGGGCGGGCGGCTCTGGGGGTCGGTAGCAGCCCCACCACCGAGCCCAGGAGTCAGTTCCATTCCTGCCGGGCCCTGTGGGTTGCCGAGGGCAGTCTGTCCCGTCGGTCCCGTCCGCCCGCCAAGCCGCGAGCCCCGCTCCGGGCGGGCTGGCTCACGATGGCCGCGCACGTCAGGGGAGACACCCCCGTGAGATCCCGGCATATATAGGAGCTGCGGGGGCATCGCCGGCCGATCGCAGCCGCTCCGTGCCGCCAGGGGCTCCGCAGCGCCATGGCCGTGGCCCTGGCCCGGGCGGCGGGGCGAGCAGGTGAGGGGGAGGGCGGCGGGGTGGGGGCGATCGGGGGCGCACCCCGACATTCCGCGCCCCGACGCCGCCGCCCTCTCCGCAGATGCGGTTGCGGCGCTGGCGCTGCTGTGGCTGCTGCTCTGCGCTCCAGGGGACGCCGGCTGTCACCCCCTGACCGTGGCCGATCTCTTCGACCGGGTGATCCGGCTCTCGGGCAGGATCCACAGCCTCTCCACGGCGCTCTACGCCGAGCTGGTGAGTGCCGGGCCGGCCCCGCCGCCGCGGAGCTGGGCTTGCGCCGCCCTGGGAGCGGGGAGCGGCGGCCGACGGGCGGGATGGGGGAAACGGCGGGGGGATGTGAGGGGGTGGTGCTCTCGGTGCTCGTTTAGGTGTTCTTCCCCCGTAGGAAAAACACTTTCCTCCCCGTGACAACGAGCTGGGAAGGCCCGCTCGGAAGTGCCACACGTCGGGGATGCTGACCCCCAACGGCAAAGAATACGCCCAAAAAATCCCGGTAAGGGCAAGGGCGGCGCCGGCGGACAGAGACAGGGCAGAAGCGGGTACTGCGAGTCTTGGGGCACGGGAAGGGACTCTGCGGTCACACCGCCTTCTTTCTCCCCACCCTGGAGAGGGTTCCTATATACCTCCTGTCATGTCAGAACCCTAAAAATATCTCATTTATCATGCTGCAATGGTCCCCCACTCCAGTCGGGCTGGAGATAGGCAGAGAGGTTTTTATGCTTCCGGAGCTTCATCAACAATCTGGATGAAAGAGACTGCTAAGTTTTGACGCCAAACAGGTGCACATCACAGAGGTATTGCATATAAATCTTTAATTAGTTGAATTTTAAATCTGTATGTGGTACCTAAAATTGGATCATAAACACTAGTTATAATAAGGATATTGCAGTAGTACTTTGTCAGAAGGACTGACAAACATCCTTTGATTTTGTTGAGGCAAACTCAGTGGAATAGAAACTTAGAAACTTGTGTGTGTGGCAAAGAAGTCACATTAATCAGTATCACTGCAAAGTACAAAAAACAATCAGGAGAAAGGTATAACAGTCATCTCTGAATCGGTAGTTAGGTAAGGAGAAAAGAACAGCAAATTTGTTTACATCACAGTTGTGATGGCAAAGAGAAAAAAATCGTTATTAGTTTAGGGAAGAGTAGGAAGAGTTTATTCCTACAGAGAAAAAGCAAATTGTGATGTTGGCAACAAACTAGTGGGAGAAACTTTTGCCTCTAGGAGACAGACAAAGATAATTGCTAACATTTTGGCTTTTGGTTGTGATGGAGTGAGGAGCTTCCCCCAGGACGTCCTTCTAGAAGGTCCCCTAGAAGGGCAATGAGAGATGAGGCCCTGCTCATGTTAGCTGAAAACATGACAAATACAACTTCTGGGTGTTATTATATATATACAAATAACCAGAGACAGAGTGGTGTTTTAGAAGTGATTTGCAGATATAAATCTTGATCCCACTGAGATTTCTTCATGAGACTAAGAGTATTCATATGATCTGCTGCAAAGTAACAGACACATCCTCTACTGTTTCAATTTATAAGAGAGAAGAACTAACTCACGTGATACTGAAACTTCTGCAAGCCTGGAAAGAACCACTTTCCCACTTTAACCAGCATATTGAGCACTATCAAGAGCTACCTGATGACAGCCTTAGCAAAGCTAGGCAAATCAGCAATATGGTACATGAGCTGAAGACCGGAGTCGAGAAAGTAACAGAAAAGGCAAGATTTTCGATGTAGCTTTTATTTCTATCAGTTATGTGGCATGGGTGACTTCCAGGAGGAGGCGATGTCTGCTCCCACTTGGATTTGGAGGCTCTTATTCAGTAAAATGCAGGACTTTGTTAAAGATACTTTAGCAAAGTGTCTTCCTGTCACAGGATGAGACTTAGCTATAGATTGGCAGATATGTACATAGGAGTGCATATCTGTGAGGCAACATTTTATTAATATGACATATATGAACAACACACACAAGTACAAATGCTTGAGCCTTTTGTATCTTCATATATGAGCCAGTAATGACTTGAGTTTTCTAGGCCAGGAGAGACGATGTGGGTAGACCATAAAAATGCTTAATAATTGTGTTAAGTTTTATTTGTATTTACATTCTATGCAATTCAAGTATCACTGCTGTCTGATGCAAAGAGCTCCTTCCTAAGGCAATAATTTTATGCTGGGATAAGTTCTTCAAGACAACAGTGGCATTGCTTAAGTCTGAAGTCAGTCACAAAACATTTTCAAAACTCCATTCCAAATTATGGCAGATTATATATAAATCATTGGATTAAATTCTTTGCTGTTTCCATTTCTGTCTTCTCATTACTAGCTTGAAGTCCTAACCTTTGCATTTTTTGTTCATTTATATCTAAAATTAACTGTGGTTTTGGCTGAACAAATGAAATCTGTGTGCCCATTCTGTAAAATGGCTACACTGCCAGGGAGTCTGTTTCACTAAAAAAAGAGTGATTAATAAACTAGTACCTTACACTAGCAGATCACCTCTCAACTTTATGAACACAGGTGAGGAATACAAGTTTTAAAACAGTAAGCAGCTCATCACTAGAATAAGCTGAACTTTACCATAAAATGCAGCCTTCTTTAGGGTGACTCAGAGTTACAAACAGAAACTCCATCATCGGAATGCAGCCATGGTTCTGGGTTAAAATGGCCTTAAAGTTCAGAAGTCTTCAACCTCAAAGCTTGACCTTTGCTTCATTGTGTAGCTGAAGCAAACTCTAAACTAGGTATACTCTTTTGGTGTATTTGCATGCTTTAATTTTTCTAAAACACCTTTGAAGCTATTACTAAGAGGGAAATCTCTGGAGTATTGATTTCTCTGTACCATGGATATTTCTATGCAGGGTAGAAATATAATTACAAAAATTAATGCATTCCATATTTTGCATCTATGTTTTTCTGTTTAAAATTAGGAGAATTCTAAACTTGCTTATGTTGTGAAGCACCTACTCTGAGAGGTGATCACAGTCTGTAGAATTCACCAGGTTAAATAAACAGCACTGGTGGATGCTCACGGTTAGGAGCGACCCTTCAGAGAAAGCATCAAAATAAATGGCTAAAAAATCTCAAGACTGATTTGCTATCATTCTTCAAGAGGAAATAAGGATTACCAAACAGGTTCCTCTACTTAAACTCAGATAAAGTATTCATTTCTAGTGTATCAAGAAATTTCAGTCTAGTTTAAAAGTTGCAGAGATACCATTAGGATAAAAAACCAATTTTATTCTATGTAAGGACCTTTACATACATCTTCAGTAAATATGTGAAATATCTGGAATAGCACGGCCCAATGGAGTGAGACCTCAGTTGCCTTCTGCAGTAGTATTTTCAAGACTTGTCGTATGTGTAGTTACAAGTTGAACTTCTTTTCCTGTTTTCAATACAGATGCAGTCAATGGGGATCATCAGCAATTCATTAAATGGAATGGCGTCACCTGAAGGAACTGGTTTATCAATTAGCAATGAAGCAAACATGATGAGTGACTCTGATTTCATTCACTGTTTTAGGAGAGATTCCAATAAAGTACAAAGCTACTTAAAAATTCTCAAATGTAGGATTATGCCAGAAAATAGTTGCTAAACTCTAATCCCTTGACAAGTAGTCTTCAGCATGTTGTTTATAAAGATTTAAAAAAAACCCTAGAACTTCTAAATTACCACTTTCACAGTAATTTTAATAGGAAAGTGTTTTTAAAATCCTTTGGAAGCTGACACAGTCGACCAATACAGATGAAATACAAAATAATGCCTCATGTGTGTATGTTGGTTAATGCACCAATAAAAAGGAGTGCTCTAGCATTAGATAAATAAATGTTCTTGCAAGTTACGCTGTGGCAGACTGTACTATGACTGATTCACACAGTTTAGATAAATACACAGAATTACAGAATGGCTTGGGTTGAAAGGGACCTTCATGATCATCGAGTTCCAACCCCCACTCTGCCATTGGCAGGGATGCCATCCACTAGATCAGGTTGGTGAGGGCGCCACTCAAGCTGGCCCTGAACACTTCCAGACATGAGCCATCCACAATTTCTCTGGGCAATGTATTCCAGTGCCTCACCATGCCTTTGAATAAAGAACTTCTTCCTGACATCTAATCTAAATATCTCTTATTTTAGTTTAAAATCATTCCCTTTTATCCTATCACTCTTTATCCATGTACAGACTGCTCTCCCTCTTTTTTATGAGCAAACTTTGAGTCATGTAAGCCTGCAATGAGCTTTCCCTGGTGCTTTCTCTTCTATAAGATAAATAATGCCCAATCTCAGACTTTGTGAGGTTCTTGTGGGCCCACTTGTTAAGCTTGTCCAGGTTCCCCTGGATGACATCCCCTCCTTCTGTTGTGTCAGCTGCATTGCTCAGCTTTGTATCTGCAAACTTGCTGAGGATGCGCTCCATGCCATTGTCTGTGTCGTTGAGGAAAATACTGCAGAGCACCAGTCCCAAGAGACAGAACCTTGAGGGACACCACATGTCACTGGCCTCCACCCGGACATAAGAACCATTGCTCACAATCCCCTGGATGCATCCAGCCAGCCAATTCCTTAACCACCAAATAGGCCAGCCTTCAAACCCATGTCTCTCCGATTTGGAGATAAGGGTGTCAAATGGGACCTTGTGGAAAGCCTTACAGAAGCTGAAACATAGGTACAACATAGCTGAAAGTAAGATTCAACCTGTTAAACCTTGGTACATCTGTATACTATCAATAAAGTATTTTACCTAAAGAAACTGTTTTCCCTCATTTCTACATATATACCTGCAGAATATTTCTTAACACTGAAGAGGGGCATTGATGTTGATCAGCTCATTTAACTGCAGGGCCTATGCCAGACTTTTATATTCACGTCATACTTCTTACTGATTTCTGAGGGCTTTCATATGTGTCCCATAAAATCTAGTATTTTTATTCATTTTGAATGCTCTTTTATGTCTGTAATGGCTTCACTGATTTCAGTAGAAACTCCTAAAGAAAAAATTTGTGAAAAGTAAGTCAGAATTCTGGTCCAAATAGTATTTCAGTCTAAGGGCTGAGCAGGGAGTAGCAACAAGTCTCTTTCCCATTCCACATGCTGCCACAGCTCTTGGGTTTTACAGTAATGATTACAAACTCCATTGCAAATAAAATATGAAAGCTGTCAGATATTTTAAGGAAATCACATTTTCCTAGCAGCAGGGTGGTGCTGCTGGCTGTGCATTCAACAAAACTTCTATGCATTAAGAGCCTGAGACATTTGAACAAGTAGATATAATCAACATGGATTTATTTTTAATATTCTTGACTTTTTTACCACTAAGTGCTCTTTTCTGGCCTTTCATGATCTTGATGGTTGCTGACAGTAGCAGGAGCTCAGGCAAGCAAGAATGAGGAGTAAAATGCTGATGATTTTTTAATAATGATACTACATTTGGGCTTGAGAAACCTAGCAGAGAAAGATGTCAAAGAAGCATTTATGCAGACCAGAGAAACAACACTTTAGTTACATGCCTGTAACTGCAAATATCCTCAGATATCTCCTACCAGGTAGATGGCTGCTGTACTTTTGCAGCTAGAAGCTGGTGAGTGGTCACAATTTGCATCTGGTCCCTGCTCTGCCAAGTATAGTAGAAAAGCAATGGGTTACATTGTGCTTGCCCTGAAGTCAAGTTAGTGGCTGCAGTTCCTTATGCAGTAAGATACCACAAACATCTCATGAAATAGCAGCATTCATGGGCAGATTTTGGGGAAATTCTGGAAACCAAACACAGCTCCAAAGAGAGGAAAGGAAGGCTCTGAGCAAACAGACAGAACCAGAGGGGGATGCCCACACTGCCTGCATCTAGCTGTGTTCACAGAAGATGCAGTAGCAATTAATAGCTGTATCATTAATGCGGCCATCCGGTGCAGCCGCAGTGGCGGAGCACAGCAGCCCCGCGGCAGCGAGGGGTCACTGCTGGCTCCCAGGCGCTGCAGCGCCTTCACTCGGGAGACAAGCGGTGCCAGGGCACTGCCGGGAACCGACACAGTCAGCGGCCAGGGGTGACAGACACGGGCGGGGGCACTGCGTCCGAGCGGCTGCCGGCAGGAAGCTCCCTCCGGACCGGCTGTGGCCCGCCCCGCTCCCCGGGGCCCCGCGGACGGGGCTGACAGGGTGGGAGGCGGCCGTGCTCCCCCGGGAGGTGGCCGTGCCCTCATGGTCATGGCTGGTGGCAAGCAACCGCAAGCGAATTGCATGGTGACTCAGAAATAGCCGAACCCGCAGCTGGCAGGACGTCCCAAGGGTGCAGCTGAGGGTCAGGGGGAAAACCTCGCAAACGGAGCAGGTCATACAAAAAACTCGCACCTCGGCCAAGGTGCTAAACCCTGGGAACATTTTTCTGTACAGAAATGTGAAAACCGAGAAAATTAGATAGTGGGTGGCACACGAGGAACAGTGCACCAAAGTGTTATCCACAGTCATTCATCCTCATTAGTGTTATATTTCAGTTTTGCCTTTGGCTGAAGCGAGGCATGTTGGTAAAACAAAAGCCTTCCTATATTGCTGGCATTGCTTTGCTTCCTCTTGTGATTGAGGAAACAACTGAGCAATGGGCTGAAAAGGGCACGCTTTTCTCTGTGGCCACCGATGCCTCAAACAGAAATACAGTGATGGTTGCTTTCTGCACAGGGGAATACTTCATCTCCTGCATGATTTCCTCCAAGACAGCAGCACAAATGGTTAGGAGAATTTGATAATGCTAAATCGTGTGCTACTACCAAAAGCTTTGGAGTTTGAGAATCACTTTTATATCCAAATATTCATTTAGGAGAAACAATTCTGTAAACTAATGGAAAACCAGAAAATCAGGATTGACTTCCAGTTATGTGCAACAAAATAGGCAAGTAATGGTACAATTTCCATTTGTGAAACAATCTGTTTCCATTAAACTTTCTTGCCAACCAAATAAATTTAAGAATTAAAAACATCTCCATTGTTCTTCAGACCTTATTCCATGAAGCACTGCAGGATAATCCCAGAATACTGACATTTTTGTATAGTCCAATTATTTTTTTTTCAATTATTAGAACTGGCTTTTGCACGTCAGTGACTTCCTCATCATAATGTTTCCATTTTTTCAGAATGATGAAGGATGCAACAGAGACCCTTCCCAGTGTCTGAAAATTTAGTTTGCTCCTTTCATAATGCACTAAATGGTATTGATAGCGTATCTTAAATTTAGACTGAATCTTGTATGTGCTGATGTTTCCATGGTAGATTAAGTGGCTAATGTCACTCATAGTTTAGCTCTTATCTAAACCCATGACTGCAAAACAGAAAGAAATTGAAACAGTCTTCTCTGCACAATATACATGCATGTTCTGCTACCTGCATTCAAATATTGACCTGTAAATAAAAATTACTTGGAAAAACTGAAGCATTCCTCAAGGGTTGGATGCTTATAAAAAGTGGCATTTCTGTGTGCTTTAGAAAGCACTGGAAGATCACTATAGAGATGCTACCTTCTGACATCCCTGTCCACCATGCCCAGCTTCAGTGCTAAGAATTACAACCAATATAAAAACAAGGAGTTGCCATTCTCTGGCCATGAATTTTGGTACAAGTCTGCATGGGGGAATTTCAGACCCAGGTTTGACTATCCCAGTTTACCCTACAGTAAAGGTGAGCAGCAGTCACCAGGCTCATAGCTTAGAAGCACACTCATTTAAAGACTTCCTCAGTCCACAAGAATTTCATCCACTGTGAACCTTTCTCTGTAGGGGCTTTTTTCTCTGTAGGTCTCCCCGTGGTTCAAAGCTGAGTCATAAGTTAATTGGACTCTAATGCCTCTCTGTTCCTTTCTAAAGGCACTGGATTTACAGCTATCATCATTAAATTGGTTTGTCTTTCCTTCTAGTATGCGAAAATCAGTAACAGTCTAGTTGGTAGAGGGTACTGAAGCATGTGAATGCACTTAATTTATGTCAGTCTTTTGACTGCAGAACATACATTCATCAGGGGAGATGTGTGGCTACAGTGATGGCAACTGGTATTTAAAACCCAGTACTAGTAAATCACAGCAGATAAAACAAATATGATGTATTAGTGCAGATCAGGAGTGACATTTGACCTTTGTACTACTGTTCTGACACTGAAGTTAGTAATGCAGTTTTGTGCCTTAAAGCAGCCCTGTTCTCAGCAGATCATAACATTTATTTCCTGTTTGGCAAAGGATCAATAAAAACAAGGTAACTTTCAGAAAACCATTTTATACTGTAAATAAGTACAAGTTTAAGTGCTAACATACCTGTGGTCATCAAATCCAGCTTTTAACAATGTTATATGAGGTCCATGGAGGAGCTAGCTAGCCTTTCATGTACACAGGCTCACAGTTATTCACATGCAGTAAAACATGACTGTGGCTGTGCCTGATAGAGACTGAAAAAATCTGCGTTGTGATACATTTTAAAAGTCCAAGAGCTTAGAAGGAAATCAGCAGCCTCTTCTTGGGTATCAGGGAAGGTCCTCTGCCTGACTTTAAGAACATACTTTCACGATCCACATTCAGACGCATATGGAGGATCTTCAATAGGTGGGGTGAGAAAAGTCTCTTCTGTTCCTGAGGCTGCTGGGCTGGGCAGTGAGATCTCTGTGTCAGCAGCACAGCCTGAGAACATGGAAGTCTGCAGCTCAGTTAACAAAGTGAGTACTGAGCCTCAGCCTTTCCTCCCTTTCCTTGTTGTACTCTGTATTACATTAGCATTGATAAGTTGCCAGAACAAACAGAGAGGTGCCCAGTGCTTTGTTTGCAGCCTCTGAAGAGATGAGGTTTTTAACTGTGGTTTGCAATTTCAGGTACCTGAACTCTCCCCACTCCTAGGATCTCAATAAATGTCCATCATAATACTCCACAGCTGCTAACTATAGTCTCAAAATGCTACATACAGGAAATACCTCAGATACTCTACAGCCATGCTGCAAGATCAGCCATCAGGTCAAATCTCTGAAGTCCAAGTAGCACACTGCTGGTTTTAACCTAGGTGTCACTGGTATCTACCATGTCACTCCTTATACCAGCTGCACTACACCTTTCATCTCTGCAATGTGTCTGTTATGACACAGTTCAAATATCTGCTGGGCACTTTGCATACCTGTGCTTTCAGTGTTCTTTCTAAAACTAGTATGCATACTGTATTTGAAGAAACCAAATACCACTTGATCCTTCACAAAGAAAAGATTGGCACTGAAAATATATTTTTGTATTCGTACAGGGTGCTATTTCTCATTTACCAAGCTTTCATAGTATGGACTGATGAGAAACTTCTCCTTTATACAACACAAAATCAGAGGAATCAAAATTATGTGTCTCATGGACCTAAATAATAATTTAATCAGACTATTTTACATATAATTCAAGATTTGCATGTATACTTTTAGAGTTTTTTTATAAAGCTTGGTCATCATTTTCAGATTAAGAATCTTTTATCTGGCATACTGAAACTTCATTCTAGCTGTAAAATAAGAATACTGATAGGAGGTGTTAAGAGATTTGGAGAACCTTGAAATAGTTTAACAGGCTACAGTGAAACCAGAATTTGTTGAATTAAAAACACCTGTAATATTACAACCGATGCTGCATCAGCCTTGCTTGATCTTTGCCTCAGTGAGACAGCCTTCAGATGTGTTCTGTTCAGCACATCAGCTCAGTTTTGACAGTAGGTCACATTTTGTGCTTGCAAAACCAACTGAAAGAATTTCCCAAGAAGCATCCTGATTTGCATCTCCCATCTCCAAAAGTGTTGCTTCTAGCACTGAGGCTTCATTGACTTGCAGTAAAATAATATGAGCAGCTGGGAAGGCTCCCTTTCCTTTAAAGGTGAGATTAAAAAAACCCCACAACCCCTACCATACAGATTTCCTCCAAAATGGGAAGCACTGATGAACAGATGCACATGTATATACCACCACCTGATCATTAGATGGTTCTCTGGAAATACCTGCAATGCAATTTCACAACCATCTGGGCTTCTAACCCTAGCCGGTTCTTCAGGCAGGAGCTGGTCAAACAGGGCAGGACTTCAACATCAAATTCATCCCCATGTGTACACAATCTGTCTGTTCTCCTCCCCACCAAATGTTTATTGCAGAATCTGAGTTGGTTCTGGGATTTCAACTGCAAGAGAGGAATAAACTCCTCTCATTACTGACCAGTATATAACACGTGTTCAAGGGCTTTCTGAGGGTAGGTGTTGAGGCAGCTTACACTAATGAAGATTTGTATATGCAGGAAGAGATAACTTCTTAATTCTTCTGTAATTTGTTTTTTTCTTTAGATCAAGCAGAGGAAACCACATGCAAGGAATGCCACATAATGCAAGACTAGGATTGCATATCTGGCCACTGAGATGGCAGGACATGCACAAGGCAAGGCACAAAACTCACCTTATCATGCATAAATGTTATGATATAAGGATCATCATTGCAATCTCAAGTTTTTTAGCTGCAGATGTATCTAAACTTCACCTCCCATATAATACAATGTAACAAGGGGACTAGTAAATCATCTATCAAAAGGTAAAACATTAAATAACAACTTCACAACAATTGCACGGCTTTTTGAAAGATGTACAATACAGCTCAAAATATCTGGAGCTCAAGGCAAGAATAATCAGAAACATTCAAGGCATATATGATAAAAAAAACCAGACGAGATTATCATAATCTTTCACCTATAAAATGTATGAATGCCAGAAAGAAAAAAGTCCCTATAAAACCATAATGGTCTCCATAACGTTTTGCCTGTAACTTAAAATATCTTTAGTCTCTCTTCTCAATAAAAGCATCCATAAATGCATGAAAAAGAAAATTAATGCTGTGCTCCCATTTTGAGCTATAAAGATTTCCAAATAAAACAAAGAAAGATACACCTAAATTCATAGACTGACCTCCTTAAACTGGATTAAGAAAGCAAATAATTTTAAGTAGCTTTAACAATATTCAAGACTACTTGTATTACAGAGAATACTGTCCTATCTTTGATACAGATATATGCTAATGTGTCCTTACTGGCACCAGTTTAAACAGCAGTAAGCCAGGAATAATCCTACTATTGGTACATCATCTCCATAAGTAATTTTCTGAACTGGCTGTAGTAGCAATTTTTCCAGTTATGGGTGTGTTGCTTCGTGCATTGTAGGCTACAATTCTGCACATTGTCATTACAGTTTTGAAATACTAAAGATTCTACCAACAGCCAAAAAAAAGACACTGCAATTCAAAGTTAAGAATGCTAGCAGATTCATGCATGGGCAGAAAGACAGAAGCCAGTGAACTGCACTTTCCAGTACACACTCTCACCAGAGTTACTAAAAAATGGAACATTTTATAGACTAGGTTGGTTGTCTTTTAATATTGCATAACTTTACTGAGGTTATCAGCTGACCTGTGACCATACTATTTAAAGCTAATTGAATACTGACATAGGTGAAGACAGATGGAGAAAATACACCAAAATGCTTGTATTTGTCCATATGAATCTATTGTGTTATTTAATGAATTTCTAAAAGAACTCAAACCCACTTACTGTCTTGAAAGAAGAGCTCTCTTTATCTCATGCACAAAAAAAAAAATAATTGGTTTGACTACAATGAGAGATAAAAGTGATTCTCTATTAGTGTGTTTTCAACGAGCATCACACAGAGTGCAGATGTATAAATCAGAGCACAAATTCAGCTTCATGTTCTTCACTTCATTTTACTTACCATCAGTTCCTATTTTACTTTTAAGGTCAGTACAAGACTGGAAAAGACACAAGAAAAGACTGTATATTGAAGAATGCTTCTTTAGTCATTAGTTGTTTGTAATTTTAATGGTGTTAGACTTTAGCATATTTTTGAAGCATAAACTAGTTAGCTTTACAATGTTCAAATATTGTTAATCTTAAAAGACTGCTCATTTGAAGCCTGCATTCTCCCACTCCTTTTACAAACTGCCCCTACTCCCTTACACTTGATGATGCCTTGTTTGCCGTGTCTTGGTCAGGATACAAATGGAGCGGGCTCTGCAGTGAATTTGCTCTTGGAGGTGGTTGTGTAGTATTCAGTCTTTCAGGATTTCCTGGAGAATTCTCCCTCCACCTTGGACTTGCCCGCTCTTCAGACATTTCCCACACAGATGGGCATGGGGAGGTAAAATTCATGGTGGATCGTGAGAGGTAGTTCTCCTGAAGACCTTCTTCTTGGAGGCACCTGTTAGAAAGCACTTCTTTTTCTTTGGAGTTTCGCCATTTCATCCTTCGATTCTGAAACCAGATTTTCACCTGTTTGCAAGTTAATGAGAGTTTATTATTATTATTTGCTTTAAATAACTTTGCCCTAACAAGTGTTTTTTTTTCCTTTCCATCCTCTTAGTTTCACATTCCTTCCTTATTTGTTGTTACAGCAGAGAACTAGTGAAGCCAGCTGACCGACATTATCCGAGGATTTTCCCATCACTATTTACTACACCTGGAACAAATATTCTCCTTGACTTTCACCATCACAGTAGATGATTACTTAGCTTAGACTGGAAAATGGACAGCCCAATAGCTAGGGATAGAAGAGTTTCCTACAAGCAACATCCTTGACAGAAGAGAATTCCCAGAGAAAATTAGTATCATCATTAAGAAAACTAAGTGATATTATTGGTGGTGTGAGGGCCTCTATTAAGCAGAGGCTGTAAGAAGCATGAATGTCCCTTTCACAAACATAGCTAAAATCAGCTTGGCCATACAGCTCCGAAAAGTGTGTTGTGACATCGGAGATGGGATTGAGGATTTAGAGACATTTTGTCTGCCTGACTACAGTTTTCCAGGAGTTGCATACAACCCATGTGATTTTGAGACAAAATCAACTTTTCAAAAACTTTGAGTTGCAATTTTAACACAAGCATTGAAAGGCATTTATAAAATGCTAGGGAAAGGTTGGGGGAATATACAACCAGGAACTGGTTTTACATTAAGAGAAGAAAGGTGAAGGTGAACAATCAAATTATTCAGACTGTGTTCTCTTTTCCCTTAAGCATTTACATTTAGGTCTGAAGATATGAAGACAAGATATGAAGGCTGTGGTTTCAAAGGTTTGAGAATCATTGTTTGAGATGACAGGTACTGTTCCTCCAGCACAACTGGTCAGAAAATTGTAGAAGTAGCCTTCACAGCAACTTCTCTTCCTTTCATGAGGGGAATAAAAGAGACGAATATCATCTGGTCTGTCAGTATCATGAAATTATATTCTTTTAGTGGTAGTGGTTATCTATGTATCGTTACATTATTTTTTACACACCCAAGCCCTCTTGAATAACATGAACACAGAAAATAATCTCGAGGAAATAACTGTAATACTAGGAATTTGACTACATTTTGGGAAATTTTTTAGGCAGCACACTGGTGAATGCAATTGCACATTTCCACTGAAACAGTTTTCCTGCAGAGATTACAGTTCTGTACATCACACTGAGAAACACCACACTCTGCTTGTTTTTGTGTTTATTGTTACAGTGCTTGCAACAGTGTCAGAGTCATCAGTTTGCAAGGAACCACCACAGACCACCAGATCTAACCTCCTGTGCAAACTAGAGCCAACTGCAAAGTTAGATCAAATTGCTGAGAGCCTTTTCAAGTTCTTAAAATCTACGAGATAGAGATGACAAGAGCTGTCATCACCACTCCCAGGCTTTTCTGTTCCCCAGAGAGCTTCTGCACATGTATCTGAGGCACTTTCACTCCTACTGCATTCAAAGGAACAAAACTGTACTGTCACCTCTCAGTATTTCAGCTGCAATCTAGAGGGCTGCATCTACTCCAGCACCTTCAGAATCCTACCTGTCAGCAAATACCATGTTCATTTTCTGCTGTTACATGCCCTCACAAACTTTTTTTTTCCCACAGTTTCTTTCAGATTATGTGCTCTTCAAGCCAGGCATTTTTCCTTTGTTTTTTATCTGCAGATAGGTGAGGGCCCAAAGATTCCAGATTGGGCTACTGCTGCTCAGCACTACTATTAATGTAGCAGTTCAGCCGGAACAGCTCCCTGGAGACATCAGACCCTCAGCTAAACTCTAAAATCCTGCAGTAGACCAACGCAGGCTCATGCAAAAAATCCCATGAAATGGGAATTGGCAAATAAAGTGGGAGTGTTTTAGCAGGTCACCCTGCAAAATTTTTCTTCTTATGGTATCTCTCAGCTCTGAAAATCTCTTTGTGCAGTCAAGTGTCTCTCCATAGGAATGGTTGCCTGTCTCTTTGGGCAGAACAGTTGCAGAGGAAGTGCTGTTGACTGCCTTGTCCCTGGTTGTTCACCTGTGAGTGCAAAGAGTGCTCAGTGGAATGAAAGAATGATCTATGTTCTCATGTTTTTTCCACTGCCGTTAGAGCAGTGGGATGGAGCATTAATTCCCTATCCCAAAGCTTCCAAGAGGGCTCTGTTGGACAGCAAAAAAAAAGCTAGTTGGAAATGAAATGCAGAGGTCATGTTTCTTGGTGTGAAAATGGAGCCATCAATTTTTGAATGTGTACATACAGGAAATAAACCAGGAAACTGTTCAAGTATTCCCTGGTTTAAACTGCCATTGATTTACTGAGGTCTTTGCAGATACAAGAGCTCAGGGCTGCTCCTGCACTGTTCAATTTTCCTCCTTCAAAGCCATTTTAAAGATTTCTCCTCAAAAGTACATTTCTTACCTGAGACTCCTTTAGACCCAGGTTAAGGGCCAGTTTCTTCCTGTCTGTTTTACTAATATACTTCTGCTTCTGGAACATTTTCTCCAAAGCTTTCCTCTGGTCTTCAGAAAAGACAGCTCTTCTTAATATGCCTCTCCGGGATTTGGAGTTAGACTCCTGGGTCAGAAGAGGCAGCACACTCTCCTCCCCTATTGGAAATAGATGAGAATTTCCCAAAACATCTAGCACATATCAGAGAAATATTAAGTGCTGTTCATTATAGTGTTTGCAGACTCTTGTCCCACTTTTAATTTGTTGGTGTTACAGTGTGTTGTAATGCTTCAGTCATGTTCATTAAGGATTAAATCCTCACTTGAATCTAGAGGTGTTGACAGCACTCAAGAGTCTCCCCCTGACATGGTACAAAGAAAATCAGATAAGTTCATAGAGGAATATTAGGATAGAGCCCATGCTACTGCAAAATTCAAATACAGTCGGGGGGAACTTCATTTTTCTTTGCCGGTCATCACCACTAAGTAAACTGCAACACGTTTTCCTATGAGCTTATTTACTCCTTGTGTGGAATGTAAAATGAGATAAAAGTGGTCTGTAATAGTTATTCAATAGTGATTCAAAGAAACTAAGTAGGCTTTCCTTTTTTTTTTTTTTTTTTTTTTTTTTAAATCCATGGTCATTCACTTAGTTATTCTGGAAACTACAGAAATTCCTATATTAGAGGATTTGGCGAGTACTTGGACTTACTTCTTTCAACCTGGTTTCTAATCCTTTGACATCTCATAGCAAGTCCTCGGAGGGCAGCTTTCAGTGAATCCAATCACATCCCCTTAATGCACGCCTAGAGGGAGCCCTACCCTGGAAAACAGCCTGAAAGCTGGGGGACAGAGCTGCAGTGAAGAAGTGTTCACACAAAGAGCACAGAAACCCCAGGATAAGTCTCTCGTGCTCCTCACTCACACCCAATAAAAGCTAAAGCCATAGTGCTTTCCCATGCTCCCTCTCCAGCAGAAAGATATGGTGTATGAGAAGCAGTCCTTGGTGAGGCTTCACATGCTTCCAGTGCACCCAGCTTCCTCAAATACTCAGGAAGCAGGAGCAGGGATCATTTGAATAGGGCCCATCATCAAGCATGGCATGTGATAATTAGGGAGATGCAAGCAGGCTAGGAAACAGCTGCACTTTGGCTCAGAAACCTGTGCCATGGCTGTACAGCCACTGACGCCTACAATCTTGCTGTAGGAGTGGCAATTCAGATGCAAGTTGCCCTCCTGCTGTCTACCTTCTCAGGTCCATGGGCCTAGATTGCCGCCCCAGCTTATAGTTAAGGCAGCTGCAAAGGTGTGCTGCTGCTCAATTCCTACAAAGGATCTGACCATTTTCATATCAAAGCCAAAAGCAAATTCTCCCTGAATAGCAAATTTTCTAAAATACTAAACATTTTTTTTATGTAGAAGTCTATCTATTCTAGTCATCTGTAATGGGGTGGGGAGGGTAAATTAAATACATTTTTTCAATTGAGATAGTGCTCTTGAAAATACTAATGAAATCCAGATGCAGCTTCCACAAACTGTTCTTGGGGCTACACCACATTTCAACTTCTGTATATTATACATATATACACATGGGTATATGTATCTTTAAACACCCATAGAAAAACCAACACACATATACTGAGGATATTGTAGTATAATGATGAGAAACTGAAGTGTATATCTGTATGTCCTGCAAAGTTGACTAAATACTTTTGTAGCCATGTGTTACTGGTAACATATGATATTGATATTACTTACACTGCCCCTGCATCCTGCTTCCAGCCCTGATCAGTAAAGCAGAGCATCAGAAGCTGAGCAAGTGTACAATGATTACTCCCTAAAATAAGACTACTCCTGTGAAACGGGGTAGTCTTAATTTAGGAGCCATTGCATTCTGTCAATTCTTTACTTGAAATTTTCATGTCAAGAAATCAAGATCTTTTTATCTGTCACTCATAATGGCATGTGGTAAAAATAATTATTATGATTTGCAATGTTACAGTATAAATAATCCTTAATTCATACAGATGTACTTCAATTCTCAAAATTATATTTAAGACCAGGTACAAAATCATAACCTGCTGGTTAATGTCCTGATATTTATTACACTGTGATACACAGTCAGACTTCATCCACACCAAAACAAACAATCTGCAAAAGATTTTGCAGAACAAAAGTCAAAATATCACAATGGAAGGGCAAGCCAGGATGATATTTCTCTGGAGACTGCAGAGTATCTTCATAACCCCCACTGCATGCTCCAATCACACCTACAAAACTGGGAGCAAGCTGGGAGCCTTCCTTCCTCAAGCATGTTTTCTCTCTTTCTTCTCAAACTTAGTGAATTTAAGTACCTTTTTCCAGGCAGCCTCTGAGTAGTTTCTGCCGAATTGTCAGCCATTCTCAGGTTTACTGGAAGGTACAGTCTGAACCAGCAGCAGAACTGGTACCTTCTCTCATTCCCACTGTGGGATGAGAGACACCAGCAAGGGAAGAGGCGTAACAGGGCTGGTCCTTGCCTCCCGGCCTCCGTTCCACAATGGAGTTGTCAGCCAAGGACAGAGGACGCCAAATTATGTGACCCCTTAAAATTTGTCTTGCCTGGCTGGTTGTTAACAGTCAATCAGCAAGGAAACAACCTCCTGCTGGAGCCTCAACGCACCAATTAATTCCTGTACAGGCAGTATGTAGGGTCCAGGTTAACACCTATATTAGACTAATAGTGAGGCATCTTTGCACACTAAGGCACAGTATGTGATGGATTTTAAAAGATTAACTGAACAAAATTTAATGATGAGCAGAATGCTCAAAAGCATTAACAGCCTATGGAGCAAAAAATCTAAAACCTACCACCAACCGAGTAGCCTAGAGAATATTTTTTTAGATAAGCCATACTCTAAAATGCACTCCAACTGTTACAGAAAAACTAAATTTCAGTCAGCTGATTACGGGAGTTTTCAGTGCATCAGGATAGGCAGTCATTTATACATTTCAACAATTCCAGCAAAATTAAATATGTCAGTTTGCAGCTCGTCACTCTGAACATGCAGTAGGTTTAGTGTTCTGCTGACACAAATGGGACCAACTATTTCCTATGTTACTGATTTGATTTTTGTTAAGTCTTTCCTTTGTATCCTAATATATAGTGATAAATGTCCTCTTAATCTGTGGAACAATCTTCATTTGCCTTCATGGCAGAGACCACCTTGAAGGAGCAAGTAAAAGCTTTAGTCATGGTTTCCATTTTTTCATTAGAATTCAATACATTCTAGTTAAATGGACAATTAATAGGTCACTTCCAAAATAGTAGTGTATCAGTCCTGGTTAATAAACAATCCCCACAGTTGATAATGGGCCGATGTATTCAGCAAGTCCCTGTATACACTCAGCTCATCCACTAAATCCCTTTTCAGGTAGACAGGGTTATATGGGAAGATGAGCTAGAATGAGTCTATAAAAGTCAGTTTCATTCACTGCTTTATTTTTCAGTCAAGTGCTTTAAATGGTGTCCAGAAAATCTCTTGGAATGTGAGACAGGAGAAAAGACTGGCACATAGAGTATTGCTTTATGGCCATACAAAAGGGCAACTGACCCTTGCCCAGGCCTTTTCAATGTGAAATGGTTCCTAAAGTTCATCTGCACAGTGAAAAATTGTGGTGAGGTCGCGTGTGGATGAGTAAAGTGAAAGTGGTGATTGGTCATGGTGCTGTCAGCCATTGTGGGAGAGCCAAGGCCATGTAAAACGCTCTGTGGGAAAGTGTCAGCCCCCTAAAGAGGTGCTCAGAAACTTGCAGCTCATTAAACTGCCAGCATTTGCTGCCTCACTTGTCAAGAATCATTCAACTTAGCAACTGCCCTTCTGAAACATTAATAAAAAGCATGCACTTTAGTCAGGAATGGCTTGAATGCAACTGTGATAAAATGTATATCCCAGAGCACGCATAAGCTCCAATTTTCATTTGGATTTGACAAGCAATTTGTGGGGTTTTTTTTCCTGTTTTGAAGAAAGAGGAAATGCTCCTTCTGTTTTAATTCCTGAGCCATAAGCACAAAATCATGACTGTCCATTCTTAAACTATGGCATGCAATCTTCCCAATCAAGGTTAAATTTAGTTTTGGATTAAATGGATTCTTAATCCTAAATGGATAGTGAACACTGGTCAAAATTCTCTTCAACATACTTCTTCAATATTTTACATTATGATTAAAGAAGAGAAACAAAATTAAACATGTGCACACATTTGACTGCTACAAAAAGAATGATTGTTGTATTTAAATAATTCTAAAGCTTCCTGAGTCATAATTTACCCCTAACAAACATTAAAATGCAGCACGCATTTTACGATCCTCCAGCTCTTTTCTTATTTGCAAATGTTTATTGACACTGATTTTTAAAAGAGTTACTGATTTTAAAGAATTGTTTCTAGCAAACTGAAAACAAGGCACTTTCCTAGGTTAGCTCTGTCTGGGTGTCTCAATGCCATTAGAAACCTCTCACAATTGCTCAGTGTACTTAAGTTTGATAAATCTTTGGAAACACTCTGAATAGAATTGCTGTGATTTTACTAAGGAATTAGCCGCTGCCATTGCATCACCAATTAGTTTTCCAGAACACATTAAATCCTGCTGCTTTGGTTTACAGAATAACTCAAGCATTACTGATGAAGCATAAAAACTTACTTGGAAAAGCAGTGGGGGATGCAGGGTGCTGACAGGACCCACCGCAGCATGCTGAGTAGAATGGCGGGGCTCGGAGAAAAAAGTGTTTGGAAAGAGCTGCAAAGAAAGCATAGATCTAATTGATTATCCATTGAGCTTAGGTGATATTCATAACAACAGTCCTCCAAAAAGTCAGTGTGTAAAGTCCTGCCCCACAAGTTCTTTTTCCTTTTTTCAACATGGTGATATTTTTAAGGCAAACAATGATAAACCAAGTAATTGCTCTTTAATTTAGCAAGGTTATTTTACATGTGTAGTTTAGGTATAATATGCAAAACTCTCCCTATATTTATAACAGTGAAGCTCTGCAGACTAGAAATTTTCTTCTGTAATTGCTGTAATTATGGGGGTTTTCCTAAATATTGGCATTGAACACATTGCTTCAATAATATGTCATTGAAATAATGACTATAATGAATCTGAAAGTTATTTAAAATAACTCTAGTAAGCATGCCAATTTACAAAAAAAAATCAGCTGGTACTCCAATGCTGTTAACAGCACTCAAACCAATAATGTCCTCAACAAGAAACCTTTAGGAATAAAATTTATAAAATGCCATGAGATGAAACAGCTGAGCTCTACAGGCACGTACTACAGGGCCTGATTCTGTTATTCTGACTGTCAACTTAGTCTTGCTGGACAAGTGCTCTAAATTTAAATAAACTACTTGCTGAAGGCTCTGCTTGATACAACAACAAAAAAAAAATCTGTGAAGTCAACAGACAGAAGTAGGTAAATTTTGGTAAATTTGGTAAATTAGGTAAAATTTGGTAAATTTTTAATGGATTTTTTTTTAATTGAAGTCTCTCATAGCTAAAAAGAGCTTCCAAATCATGGAAAGGTCTTCATTATCTATTTATCTCTTACTTTTTTTTCCTTAAGTCTCATGGGCTTTTCCATTAATCTTAATTACCTATCAATTTCTGCTGGTACTAGTCAACTATGAAACCTGGAACATTTTTTTGTTTTGAAAAAGATACATCATTGCTAGAACTGTACACTTGTAAAATGTGATCAGCATCAAAACATCCATGTCACTTTCTTGTTTTGGTTTAGGCAGAAAATAAGTGGCTCTAGAGCCTGTACTGTAGTTGTCTAAATATCCAGGAAAAAAATCCCATTAAATTAAAAAAAAAGTAACTGCACACTTGGGTAAAAAAAAAAAAATTAAGAAATCAACAATCAGAAATAAAGGTAAATAGATAAATGTATCTAAGCTATGCTGCTAATTTTTAAATGTTTTTCAATTGCAATTAAAAATAAAGATCATTCAAAATTAAGTTTCTGAGTATTTATTAGGACCTCAAAATAAGTTTTCTGACCCTTAAATTTGCTGTTATCCCAGAGCAAAAAAATTATTGCTGTAAAAGTCTAACTCTAAACATTTTTTAAAGTATTAACTTGCAATTGCTGATTGATAAGCATTTTGCTGGTACAGCTTTCCATCAAAATTTTTCAGTTGCTAATGAAATATAAATTAACTGCCTGGTTTTGAGGCATATATTTGCAAAACATTTACAAAAAAGAATTATTTACACCAGGCATTAGTATTCTACAGCTTCTTTTCTACATAAGACCACCAAATGTGGAACCACATCCTTAGAAACTTAAAATAGTCAAGAACGTGCAGCCAAATACTACTTATCCCATGTATCCAAAGGGTTTCAATGCAACTGGTGAAGTGTGTAAGCTGGAAAGGATCTGAATAACTCAAGAAGCACAGGAGCTGTAGAAGATAAATATTAGGCAAACTCCTGGACATTAGAGCTTGTCATTGACAGTATATTTTATCCTCTGGAATTCCCAGACTCTCAGGAAAAGGAGCTTTTCCTCCCTTCCTTGGGAGGCTCATTCCTTGTGCTTTTATCAAATTTCCCTTACAGTCAAGTAAAAGCCTCCACTTTTGAAAATATAACTTAGAATACAGAAGATGGCACACTCCATTCCTTTGCTTTCTTCTTAAATATCTTGGATATTCCCTGGCTGCCATAATGTCCTATTCCCTCCAATCATTGCGCCAGCACCTTATTCGTGCCATGCAATTTTTGTCAGACTTTGTCCCGTCCTTGGTATTCCCTCTTGTGGTTTCTTAACTCTGTCCAGTTCCTTGCTCTGTTTTGATAATGTGGGGTTCATAATGGTGTGTGATAAAAGCACAAGACACATGGATAAATTAGAATTGAACAAGCTATTGATTCAGATAGACAACATGCTCCTGCAAGTAACAACAGGAATAGAAAGGACAGTTTTCTCCATTCACTACATCTCTCAACAAGTAAGCTGCAAGCATAAAGGTCTGAAGATGGATCAGAGTAAAAACTAAAGCAAACTCTTTGCTTAAGCAAACTTCAAAAAAGCAATATATTTCCATGGAAGTTGCTGACAATGATTTAATACAGCAGCACAGTACCACGATGCAAACAGAAGAGATCTTGACCCTAATTCTGCTCAAGTTGATGGAAATCATGAGTCTGGCTTTCCTGAGCATTTTACCTAATTCTTTCAACCAATTGCTGCTTTTTTTTGCTGCAGGGTGCATATCTATTTGAAGCAGAATATTTCCTTAAGAAGTAAGATGCAGGTGAAATCCTCATGTAACTTTGAACGAAGAGGTTCCTGAGCTCACATCTCAAAATTTAGTCTAGATCCTGCCATGATGTCTCCCTACACCTATAGCAAACATGTATGTCCAGTTCATAACCTTTTTTAAGGTGCTGCAGCTGTACTGATGCACATATGAATTCTACACTATGTACATGAAACTACATCCCTACATCTACTGAAGCTGTTGCACTCAAACCAATGTGCAGCAGTTTTGCAGTTACATCAGTACAAAAAATAAGACATAATACAGGGATACTCGACTCTCTCTTGGGAGTTCTACATACAGAAAAATGTTAATGCTTCAACATAACATATCCAAGTATATTTTTCATCTTTGATAAAAACAACACAGTTCATCACATTAAATGGCTTCCACTACCTGTATGAAACTCCATTAACAGAATTAAAATTACCTAGAATTATACTGAAATCGTACCTGTAGAAATGACATAATACAGTTTTGAGAACAATATAGAGGAAGCACTACCTATTATTTTTTTTCACATACATAACAGCAACTCTATCAATATCTGTTGATCAAGAGACCTAAAGCAAACACTCTTTGCTGTTCACATAAGGCTGAAAATTGTTGAAATGTCAGAATATTAATTATGTTATTTTTTGGCCAGAATGAGGTACACAGTAACCAAAAGGCAGCTGTTGCTCCTAAAGATGTATAGGAACTTAAAGCAAGGGCAAAATCCTAGTAATTTTTATTCAGGACACTTAAGCCTTTTTTTGCTCTATATCTTCATTTCATAAAACTGAGACTGTGTGGAATTAAATGTTTCACAGAACTCAGTCTTTACAGGTTTAGCTTCACACATGCATGAAAAGTATAAAAGTATGATATAAGAGCCTTTTGGCACTCCAAAAACTGCACTATATGCCTTAAAAGAAAATGTCATGGATCATATACATAAAAGTATTAGATACCTAGGGTTTGGGGTTTTTTTCACAAAACAAATACTTTTGACATTGGTGCTGTATGCAAATTCTAGTAATAATGTTCACTACATTTACCTTTATGAATAGAAATAATTTTACAGACAATAAAATAATACTAAACATGTAAACATGCCTCAAGCTTATCTAGTGCTAAAACTCAGAAAGCAGATATTTTAAAAGACACTGCTCTGAAAATATTCTAAATTCAAAAGCCCTTCCATTATAAAAAGTCATACTCACAATGGGATCAGAAGTTTTCTTTCCAACTGTCCATCATTCTGAGACTAAGGTTCCTAAATACAATCCAGCTCAGTTATGCAATTTTGAAAATGGCTTATTATTAAGGACAATGTTTACTCTAATTCTAGCATTGTGAAATAACTCAGTAAAGAATGTAGGCTATCAGCCATCAGGAAAGTGGGAAGGGATGAAGGAAAAATGGCTACTGAAGGAAAGTGAAACTGATGGCAAACTTCTGGTATTATGCATACAGGCTCCTTCACTGCACATGCTGCTAGTCTGTTGGGGGATTTTAAAGATAACTGCTAAAACTGTGGTATCAACCTCTGAAGAGAGCTGGAACACCTCCAAAAAATTATTCAGAAAACTGCCTAGAGCCAGCTAACAAAACTAACAGGAGCAGAGAAACCTCAAGCTGCGTGTACACTTCAATTCGCCAAGCATTACTAAGTCCACATGAACTGCTTTCCACCATGATGCCTAGGTTCCAGCCCTTGCAGGAAACTTAAAATATATTATCAGTAAAATTATCACACTTCATCTGAGAACCTTGGATGGTTTGTGCCCATAACATGGGCACAACTGCAATTTCCTACCTACATCCGTTCTTGGCAGTGTTTAAAGCAGGCTTTTGAAAAGCTGCAGGGAAGTTTCATGTCATGAAGAACTCCCTGAAAACAGTCCAGCAGTAGCTCTGCCAGCTTTGTGATCCAGCTGAGCTTCATTTCTGTTCCCGAACCACAAACCCTGGACCTCATGATGAGTCATGGCTCTTTCCCTAGCAGTTACTGTCTAAAGTGCAATGTTCCAGCAGCAGTTGTGCAACCCCAAAGCATTTCAATCAGCTGAAGAGGAGCCTGCAACTGTGAGAACAAAGCAGCAGCCACTGCCATATCCCACCCAAAAGCAACTGCCATCACATGGAACTGGAAAAATTTACTGCAAGAGCCTGTGGTGCAGGACCCCTCAGAACTGGCTGTCCTGCACTCCCAAAGTTACCATTTGCTTCCTACTTACTACTGTAAAACGCAACCACACGAATGCTCAAAGGAAAAAGGGTACTCAAAAGGGTAAAGCAGAGCAGCATCCACAGGTCAGTTTTTAAAAACTGCCAAACATTCAGAGAAAGGGTTTTAAAGTTCTAAATATATGTATTTTTAATTCCTACACAAAACATGGATGCAAGAATTTATGCTGGGTCATTGTGGGGCTTTCAAAAATTGGCAGAGCAGCCCCCAAAAATGGGCTTGAAATGCTAACACCA